AAAAAGAAGCAAGAGAAAACAGGAGGAGAAGAAAATAGAAAAAAAAAGAAGAGGAACAGAAAAAAAAAAAAAAAAGAAAAGGAAAGGAAGGAGAGAGGGAGAGAGAGAGAGAGAGAGAGAGAGAGAGAGAGAGAGAGAGAGAGAGAGAGAGAGAATGAAAGCACGTTAGGTTGACGGTCTGCGCAGCCTATCACGTTGCGAAGTTGCGAATTATTCCATCAAGCGAATTTAACGGCCTTCAAACAAAGAACACCATTTCCGTAAACCGATTTCAAACTTTTTTCGTGTAATGAAAAAATTGTAGAAAATTGAAATAACAAAAAATTGAAAAAAATGAATTTAAAAAGAGAGAAAAAGATCCGGACGCGCCCCAACTTACCCACTCTATCTCGGTCGTGCAAACGCATTTCGACTAGTGGAGATTTTACATTTTGTTTTCCTACTCAGGCCACGTGATGTTACTCTAGAGAGAGTTTTCTTTCACATTCCGCCTTGTTCTCGTGTATATAAAATATAAAAAGACAAAAGACAAATTCCTTGAGAATATCATGTACTAGTCTGAAATGGGAAAGCAATACGTACCAGCTGAGAAGGGCTATTAAAATGATTTCAGTTGCTTGATTTTCCGCTTAAACCACAACAACAGAAAAAAAAGTAGAAGAAAAAATGGAAAAAAGTAAGATATAAGCAACAATGATCTTACATCGGCTGTCAAAAAGATAAACTTTAACAAGTTGCTTATTCAACGACATTTGTGGCTCTTCATTTACAACATTAACCAAAATCAATCAAAATAACTGTTCGAGCAGCAAGATAACTTGTTGTTTAACGCCAAGCACTCACGAATTGAAATTATATACTCAATTTACAAGAGGTAATAACGAAATTGCCCTAACAAAAGTAACAAGGGAGACCTACATTCTTTCTTTTTTGTGGCTCTCAGCTATCAACTATTAATAATGTACAAAATGCCGAGATGCTATAAAAATTACAAACTTGCGCGAAAAAAGTCAAAAGCTTTTAAACGACAAAAGAACTGTGGTATGTTCATGGAACGACAATTCATCAAGAAACGTTATAAGGGTTATACCTACTAGAAACACTTTTTTTATGTTATATATGACTACCTCAATTCAATTACTTATTGAGCTTATGAAAGCTTACAACGAAACTTCCCTCAAGAACGTTACAAGGCACAATAACAAGGGTGACAGACATCGATAATGTACAACTAAAATAATCCATTAAAAATTACAAAAAAGCACGGCTTTTAAAAAACTGTAACATATGTTCATGCAGTGACATTTCATAGAAAAACTTTATGGCCAGTAATGAACCACGTTAACTAGCGTTACATGTTCTGTTAATCGCTGACAAGACAGGAGAAAGGGGACAGAGAAAGCATCCCCCATACACACCCTATTCCATAGGTAATTCGTCTCGAGTTATTTTTAAGACCACAGATCCCAAGCGGGATTAGACAACAGCCAATTACATAGCGCGAATGTGTTCCGCGTGGATGACCCACGCTCAGAGCCACGCGTCCTTCACGAATTGACGCAGAAGACACGGAGGGCGATTTTGCTATTCGTTTTGTCGACGAAAACGACTACAGAGAGATTTCTGCTAAAGCTGTGTCAGCGAAACGGAATTAAAAAAAGAATCGCCCTTTCTGGCTTGTTTCTAAGCATTGTCACGACGTTGATCCGAGCGAAGCTGAGAGTTCTAGCGGAGAAGATGAAAAAGTCAGTGCAAGCGAGGAGGAAGCTGTAACCGAAACGGAGAGTACCAATGAAATACAAGAAAACGTAGAAAGCTCCTATTCCGATGATAGTTCAGCAGATGAAGCGAAGAGGAGAAAAAGTGCAAGGAAACCTAAACGTGCGCCTTCGAGTTCGACCGTCACCAAATCAAGCAAAAAGGCGCCGAAGAAATCAAATAAACGAAACAAGAGTCTTTCGGAAGAAAAGATGGAGCTATTCCCTTTTCCCAGGTGAGCGCCGACTCATTTCGCTTCAATATTCAGGAATACTCTCGATCTCTTTACGCTCTAATTGCCTTTCGCCCGACACGGCACGGCACGGCGTTTAGTCATGCGAAACCTCCACGCAGCGCGCGAGGTAACTTTATCCCGATTCTAAAAATAACTCGAGACGAATTACCTATGGAAAAGGGTGTGTATGGGGGATGCCTTCTCTGTCCCCTTTATCCTCTCTTGTCGCTGACTATGAACGATTTGTATTTTCAGCGGGTTATTTTTCCGATTTCTTGCCTGCACGTATAGTAGAAAGCCGTCCGATGAATCCAAACCAAAAACACCAGCTCAATGATGATAGTATCGGATTACCAAGCAAGTGGGCGCAAAGCTGTATGGGATCTTTTTCTCTTCTTCCTTTTTTTCCCCTAATTTTTCAATTTCAATTTCCCTATTTCTTTATTGTATGGAAATTGTATGGAAATGGTGGAAAATCGGTTGAAGGAAATGGTATTCTTTTATTGCAGGCCATGAAATTGCTTGATCAAAAAAATTCCCAGCTTCGCTGACGTTTAACGTAGCGTGCTAGGGTACGCAGACTGTCGACCAATCAGGGCCGTAGCTAGGTTTTTCTAACGGAGGGGGGGGGGGGGGCAGCATGATTGCACGGTAGTGGGGTGTGGATATGTGTCGATGGTACGGGTTGAGGCGGGGTGCGTGATGGTGGGGGGCGGGGGGGTGGCGTGTGGTGCGACGAGGTGGGGGTGGGGGATTGTGGGGGGGGGGGGGGGGGGGGGGGGGGTGTGGGCGGGAGTGGGGGGGGAAATGGTGTGGGGGGGGGGGGGGGGGGGGGGGTATCCTCCCCCAGAAAATTTTCAAATTTGGAGGTTCGGAAACGCTATTTTCAGCACTTGTCATAAGATATGTCGAATCGACCTCGAATTTGAAAATGGCAAACAATTTCAAGTCACTCTAATCAAAATCACTGAGTCTAAAGAAAACAAATCCATCCACAGACTTGATTTATCTAGCTCAACAGGTCCAGGGGGGCAGCTGCCCCCCTTGCCCCTCACGCTAGCTACCGCTCTGCCAGTACACTTTCTGTTCTTCCCTTCCTTTATCCTATTTCTTTCCTTATTTCTTATTTTCGTCCTTTCTTGTCCTTGTTCTTCTTTCTTTTTTCTTTCCGTTTCTTTTCTTTCTTTCTTTCTTTCTTGCGTTGGTGTTCCTGTTCCCCGTGTGCCTGGTGTCCCAGCTTCGAGTCGTACTTTTTTTACTTTATTTTTACTTTTTTACTCGTATGTATTCGTATTTTAACCGTATGTTGCTCGTATGTACTCGTATGTTACCCGTATGTACTCGTATGTATTCGTATGTCATCGGTGTGTACCTGTATGTACTCGTATGTTACTCGTATGTAGTTGTATGTTAGCCGTATGTACTCGTGTGGTGTTTTAGTCACGATCCCCCCGAATCCTTTGTTAGAGATTTGATAGGACAATTGTCACACGAGTAATAATGTCACACGCATAATACCCCACAGCAGCCACGTGGTGGGAGAGAATTTCTACTGAAGGTCAAATTACTGCTAGCCGAGTTTCAGTGAACCCGAGAGTGTCAAGAACCCGAAGACCCAGGAGGAGACTGTATCAAGAATTTGGTTTTAATATTACGGAGACATTCACAGCACTAGGAAGCCATGTCCTGCCCACTATCATAAAAATGTAAACAATAATACATTTGAGTATTTAACTGAAAATTAAACAAGACTTGCCTGTTGGTTGAAGTTTGATGATAATTCTGCCAAATCATTAGTAGTACAGTAGGGTTAACATGAGATGCGCACGCACCGCCGCAGGTCAGTCTTAAAAGAATTTTGTAATCACTAAAACACAGCTGAAACGACGTCAATTCTTGGAGTGACAGTGGGTGTGTGGGTGTAAACATATGGGTGATATGGGCATGTTAACCCTACTGTACTACTAATGATTTGACAGAATTATCATCAAACTTCAACTTACAGATAAGCCTTGTTTAATTTTCAATTCTACTAAATCACTATACATATACATCCGGGTTACCATGAGACTTTAACGCAGTGAGCGCAAAATGAGAAAGCACCCAAACAACTTCACACTCCCACTTTAATTGTACACTACTTTGCAATACAGTTTTGTTTTACAAGACATTATGTGAGAACGGCCAAACCCATCTGGTTTGTTACAGCAACTGGCTTGTTGTAAAACTTCCGCAAAGTGGACTCCTCAGTGCAACCAGCTGTAGATAGGATCACATCAGTGGAAACTGACATAAGAGCTTTACTCGTTGAAGTACACCTTGTGCTATGACGAGAAAATATTTCTGTATCAACACCCGCTTGTCCCAACAAAGTTTTGATCCAGCGCCCAATAGATGAGGTTACCGCCTTATGGGCTTAATGTACGAAACAAGCAATTTTGAAGAATTTCTAAGCTTTTCAGCAGCCCGTAGGTGATAATCTAATGTTTCATAAACACACAGTTCCCTCACTAGATACTTGTAAAGGCGTACATTGCCAAAACCTTTGCCAGGTTTGTCCTTCTTAAGGTGTTCAGTTAAGGCAAAATTTAAGCATGTATCATTTTTCTGCATATATTGTTCTGACGTGTCCAAAAAAGTCAACGTCTGACACCTCTGCCCCGTAGTCAAGGCAATCAACATGACTAATTTTAGGGTGAGTTCCTTCAAATTGATCTCGTGCAAAGGCCAAAATAAACTCTAGTAATCAAGGACAGTATCCATGGACCAGATATTTTTATACTTCGGCACAGGCTTGAGCTTGTTGAACACCCCTTTAAGGTAACGGCAAACAAGGAAGTGCTTTCCTACAGGTGTATGATCTGGAGCATCACTATCACTCATGTCAATTTTAGAAACTGCAGACCAAGCTGTATTTAGCACAGAATAGCTCAAGCCAGTCTTGAAAAGACTATGCGGAAAAGAGAGTACAGCCGTCGCAGTGGGATGCAATGGATCATGTGACCTTTCACTGCAAAACTGCAGCCACTTGTAGATATACACTTTATATTGCTTCCGTGTGCTCTCTCCATGAATGCATGATGATGTCAACAATGTCTGGCGAAATCTCAGACTCTTGCAAGGATCGCCTGATAACTTGCATACCATCAACTGCAGACGTTGGTGTAGGGGATGAGGACCGTCCAGAGTTGGATGAATCAGATTCTGAACTGAAGCATTTAATACACGTGGCGCTTCTGTTAGTAGGCTGAGTACAGCCGTAAAATAAGGCTGAGTTATCCACAAGGGAATTACTAGAATTCCTGATGCCCGGTCGTGAATATTTTCTGTACACACCTTGAAACAAGACAAAATGGAGGATAAGCATAGAAGAAAAATGGTAAAAGCATCTACAAACTTTGCCATTGGATGTGGTTTCCAGGAAACATAATCCTCCACCTGAGCATTAAGTCTAGTAGCAAATAGATGTATATCTGGTTTGCCAAATAAAGCTACTATTCTCTGAAAAATAGGAGCTGAAAGCATCCATTCCAGATCCAAATTCAAATTCCGAGATAACTGATCAGCATCAATATCACTTGATCCTGGAATATGGGCTGCTGATAACCAAATATCTTTGTCAATAGCCCAATCCCAAATACTCTTAGCAATGGACTTACATTCTAAAGATCTACAACCTCCCACAGAATTAATGTAAGACACGACAGTGTTGTTATCAGACATAACCCGCACATGGATGTTGTTCCTGGCATCAAGTAGCGAGGACAGAGCATGCTTAACTGCTAATAATTCCAGGTAATTTATGTGCCTGGATGACTCTGACTTAGACCAGATGCCACTAGTCTTATTCCCATGTTCGATTTGAGCACCCCAACCATTTGGGATGCATCAGTGTAAACAACTACATCAGGACTATTATGAAAAATTCTTCTTGATGCTGTTAGAATATTTGCAGACCACCAGTGAATCTCTTCCAAACTGTCAGAACTGTCATGAGACAAGGTCATAAATGAATCAAAGTTCCCCTGGTTCAATTTTAAATTTGTTTCTTTATCAACCTCAATGTGGCGATAATGTAGTAAAGGGCCAAACTCCACGCCTGGAAAGCTGGAGACTAAGGTCCCAAGAAACGACGCAACTTCACGGATAGTAAACTGTTTATTTGGGAGAGAGAACAATCGGCACAACTGCAAAATTTTAACAGCTTTCTTGTTTGTCAAAGTAACTCACATGACAATAGAGTTCAAAATGAACCCTAAAGACTCTAAGATCTGTGTTGGTATAATAACTGACTTTCCTGGATGGATTCTAAAACCCAGACTGACAAAAAGTTGTATCGTGTGTAATGTGGCTTCTTCACATTCCGTATAACCATCTTCCAGATAGAAGGAGTCATCAATGTAGCCCAGACAGGTGTGGCCAAACTGACTCCTGAAGTAGCTTAAGACTGGTTTTAAAACTTTCGTAAAAATCCTAGGGCTACTAGTCAGTCCCATAGACAGGCTAGTGAAAGCACATAACTGATCCCTCCAAATAAATTTTAAATATTTCTGATGTTCTTCTGCAATAGGGATAGAGTAATACGCATCCTTCAGATCTATAGATGTCATGTAACATCCAGGCCTTATGAGTCTAATAGCTGTTTGTAAAGTGTCCAGTTTAAAATGATGGTATATCACTAACTCATTCAGTTTCTTTAGATTTAATACTGAACCCTGTGAGACCCATCTTTCTTAGGCCTTGTAAAAATTGGAAATATGACCTGGCCATCCTCATGTGACGATAGCCTTATTATCCCTTTAAGAAGGAATTTTTCTACTTCATTGTCAATGATAGTCTGCTAAATTTCAGTAAAGGAACAAAGAGGCCTAGTAACACTAGTACATATTCCAGGTTCCCAGTCAAATTCAATATGACAGTGAGTAACTGCATCCAAGATAAAAGGATCTGATGTGATAGTCTTCCATACATGAAGACAGTCTCGCAGTCCTCCTGCCTTAAAAGGAATTTGATTTGCAATAATAGTAGCAAGAGTTGTCTGACTTACCTCAGCTGGTGATCCTACTGGGTCTTGGTTGCCTCAAATTGGTGACAACAGCAGGACTGCTGTATGGGTCAAAACATTCCTCTGATCTCCATTTGCACTGTTACACAGCTGAAGTACAGCATATAAACCTGACAAGAGCAAGGATTGTGCCTTCCAGAAAGCTGAATCATTGTTTCTAGTCTCCTGTCGTAATTGTCGTAATTCAGGTCTAAGGTACTTGTTCTTTACCTCGGCCAACTTTTCCTTTGTGAGCTTCTCTGTAAGCAGACTCTTCACTATTTCTGCCAAATTTGCATCTATGGCAGGTGAGGTTTTCTCTAGAACGCTAAATTCATCAGCGATTGATTTGAAGGAATCGCCATCCGAGCCTTCAGTATGGGCTGACGTTTCTGGCTGGATAAAATCGTTTATTTTAGTTGCAACAGCTGTATCCGAACACTCAGTGCTCGCTTCACCGCTCTCAGGGCCGGTCTCATAATCTTCAAAATCGGCATAAAACCTTCTCGATAGAGTCTTGGACGTGCCGCGGGCCAAAATATCTCTTTTGGCATCATCTAAAAGTTCGGCAAACACCGCCTTGAGGTCCACAGGCGAGGAATCTCCAGAATTTGTAATTTTCTGAGATTCCTCAGTCATCGTCTGAGGAAATTAAGATGGATAAAGAAAGCGTCAAGCTTTTTGCACTACAAAATGGCGGCCTCGTCCGCCACGTGGTATCAAAAAACCGGTTCAAATAATCGGCTATATAGCTAGTCACAAACTCGTTGAGACTCGTAAAGATACGAGGAAAAGGTATAAACGCGTTACACCACAATTGATTAAACTCTGGACACGTCCAGGAGTCTTCTCATAAAATTATAATTCGGCACAAGAGCCGAGTCCACCTTTGACATGCACAAAAAAGGAAAAAATGCAGACAATAACGGCTGGAAAACGTAATATGGAACGCGTCCACTGTAAAAGAAAAATAAACGAAAAAGTAATTGTTAACTTACCGTGATAAGCAGCTGCCAAAGGCGAAGAAATATCGGAGAAAAATAAACACGACTAAACCCACGGCGAAAGATACCTGCACTGACCTGCGGAGGTGTGTGCGCATCTCATGGTAACCCGGATGTACATAATGATTTGGTAGAACTGTCGTTTTCCTTTCTTATACATATTATACATGTATAACCAAACTGATTGACATTCAGTTTGATGTTTACACGTTTTTCTGTTAATCCCATTCAATAAAGATTGATTACTCCTGCGTGATTTACTTATCAAGGAATGGATTCCGAACAAAATCGAATCGGATTGAGTTCGATTGCGTTCGATTGGTTCGATAATCGAACGCACAGCAAAATAAATGTTCGATTACGTTCGATTACCGAAACTGGTGTTCGATTGGGTTCGATTGAATTATGGTTCGATTTTGTTCGATTAGATACACCGGGCCTTTAACCCCGAGGAAACGTGGGGTTCAAGGAAATCGCTTAAATCGCAGTGGATCGGGAAAATAACCACATAGTAAGCAAAAACAAGCAAAATAAGATAGGGTGTATTTTACTGAAAATTCTAGCGAGTATTTACCTTCTTGAATCTTTTACCTGAATTCCCATACGAACCCTTTATTAAATAAATCGTATCGAAAACAAAAACCAACTACAATCGATCGACGTGTATTCTCGGTTTTCACTGTCACGCAATCGAAAATAAAATTGCAAACCATTCAGTACAGAAAGTCCAGAATCTAGGAAATAAAAGAAGATAAATATGCAAAAGGCCTCGCCAAGAATCAGGTCTGTGCGGTTTTTCATATGCGAGATATTAGGAAAAACGTTTTATCCAAATTTATAAAGCTTTGTATGGAGACGCCATGTTTGTGTCCCTTTGAGGGGCACAAATATGGCCGCCGGAAACCAACAGAAACATCTGTTTTTGAGTTTTCCTACTAATGCGTGAAATCATCGCTTGAAAAACTCATAAAGGATTAAAGTGATATTTATTCTGAGACAAGGAATGTTTAGATAGCAAAGTCTCCCAAAATTGGTAATGTTTTTAACCCACATAAGTGCCTTCCCGACCGCCAGCCAAATGCCGCGTCACGCAAAAGCCTACAAATTCAAACGTCCCCTATCGCAAAACGAAGAACCCTTTGGAACCAAAACTTTGTTTAAATAAAGGTGTTTAGGTGCTGTAAATATTTTGCTACTAATTCTTACACTCTCCGCATCTGTTCCTAATGTGATACAGATGTAAAATAAGTAAACGAAAACAAGCGAATAAAATAAGCTCGGAAGTCCACAATCCGGGTGTTACGAAAACTAAGACCCTCGAAAACTAAGACCTAAGACCTAAGACCCGTCTTAGTTTTCGAGATTACGAAAACTAAGACCCCCTAAAATATTTATTTGGGAAATTTGAGAAAAAATAAAAAGTGCGGTCAAAATGCGGTCAAAGTGCGGTTTTTTGGTTGATTAAAAGGTGCGATTATAAACCTCCGCCGAAGTCTTAAAATGAAATCAGTTGACCTCAAAATAAAAGGAATTTCAAATTTCAAATTTCAATCTTCTACACTACCAATGTTTTAATCTTTTCAAATATGAGAGTGCAATGGTTTTTCAGGCCATTTAGAAAACATCTTCGGAGACCGCTTTCGATGGTGGCAATATGTAGCTAATATTCATCAGGATAAAAATGTTCCTGGTATGTCAGTTTTTAACAATTAAGCATTGCAGAGCTAAAATATAGGTCTTAAAGATTTACCAAGTAAAGTTTCAAGGTCGGACTCGGAACGCTTCACTTCGAAGGAATCGAAATTCTGAGCAATATCAACGTGCAAAATGGCGCTGGATTTATAACAAACATCTAACATTATAGTTACAATCACTTGCGTTAAAATATCAAACTAAATTTACCTTTGACAATTTTAAGTTCAAGCATCGCAGAGCTAAAATATAGGTCTTGACGATTTACCACGTAAAGTTTCAAGGTCTAACTCAGTACGCTTCCTATGAGACAAGTCAGTAACTTTGTAATATTAACGCGTAAAATTCACTACAAAGAAGTATCAGCGCTTGTCAACAAACATTAAACAACACGTTACTCGATCAGAAGGGCAGTTTCCATATCCATCTTTCGTTTGAAATTCTCAAGTCATTTTAGATTAGGTTGCAATAAACACATTCGGCCTCTCAGACCTATTAAAACAGTTTCAAAATATAGATCGGTTGAAAATAATTGCTAAGCTAGCTCCCGCATATCTCAGTACTGCCTGGAATTTTTACTTCAGTTACTTGATCTTCCTAAAGCGCTGTATCCTGTAAATGCAACCTTGTACCGATGTCTCAAGCGCTCAGGATGCAAGCAGTACAGTACTCCAAATATTTTTAATACTATCTACTCATGACTTTTCGTTGAATTGCACCGAAGTGAAAAGGCGGAAACAAAGTAATCCGAACCTAAACAAACAAAAAATGCACTAATTTGGCGCTATTGTAAAATTGGCACTGACACCATAAAACGACTGAAACCGAAAACGAAATTTACGTTTACCTTATCCTTTTCTCCATTTTGTGTCCACCATTGCAAATTTTCTGTAAAAACACATCAGAGGCTTTAAAGTTCATATTCAGATCCATTTGTAGCCCCTCGAAATGCGTGCATGCTTGGCGCACAGGAAATTTACCAGAAAGTCATGCAACCGTGCGCACGAGCACACCCGACGGTATTGTGCAACAACCGTGATTTCGCAACAGTTTGAAAATACAGCGTTGGTCATATATCCTTGTTTAACTCAGTCTCTTCGTTTCTTGAATGGCTCACTGTAGCTACAAAGCGCTTCTAGGTAAGGTCACCCCTTCCCAGGGCACACCTTGCGGTCAGTCCGCAGATTATCCTGGTCAGCTGGAATGTATTGCGCTCAGACTGTACATGTAACTGGCCATTTAAAGACCTTAAACCTCAGCGAAGATGAGAGTTTGGGATCTGAAATAAAGTTGCTGTTGGCAATTTTTGTCTTTTTATCAGCTATATTATTATTATTATACGTTTTTCTTTTTATCATCATGCACTTGAGGGTGGTTATTCTCAACACATCATTCTCCTTCTAGGGGTTTTCTCAGTGGAAGAACATCACTATACCTTGAGCATTTGTCCAACAGGACGCACAGGGCTGATTTCGGCATCCGCTGGAGGACAGGGAAGACCATGTACAGTACCCAAAGAATCAGCGGCACATAACTCTACAACTGCTAAAGGGAGCCACCGAGTGGATAGCTTGAAGTCGGCGTTTATTTTCAAAAACACGAACACACTTATTCCAGTTGGATCACGTAAGTTGCAGACTTTTCTGTGAAGATTGGTTAGATAATGGTAATTTTTTACGGTTAAGAATCACATATAAGGTGGCACACAAGGCGAGGAGTTTGCTAGCACTCTATTAAAGAAACAGTAAGAAATTTCCACGAGACAGTGACAAGAGAGGAGAGAACGTGCAAGGAGAGGGAAAAGCGCTTTTAAGATGTATTAATCATCAAGTGTTCCTTGTTTGTATTACGCAGGGGTCATTTTTGCCTTGGGGGTGCGGATAATCCTAGCACACCTTGCGGTCCTCATTCAAAATTATTGGTCTTGCGGGCAGGAAGTTGTCTTCTTTCTATGTATGTTTTAAATGCATTTGTTTATACAGAATATTGACATTAATTTCTTTTCGTCTGTTCATTTCGTTTTGCTTTTGTTTTTCCATTTAAAGCAATTTGTAAACAGTGCAACGAGTATATCAGCAAAGAGGCCATACCCAACCAAACTCTAGTGCTTGCTTCAGGTGGGGTGGAGCCCGTCCCCGAGGTCTCACGTCTGCAAGTGTTACCTGAGCCCCATTTGTTGGTAAGTAGTAATAAGAAACACTGGTGTAAATGGTTCGTTTAAGTGGCTACTTTAACGATGGTATGAAATTTCCTACTTTCAAAAAAACATTCATCATTCATTCTTTCATTTCATTTTTAATCCTTTTTTACTTTAGGGGATTTCTTTTCCTTTCTTTCTTTCTTTCTTAACGGTTTGTGTGGGTGTTAGCTTATGAATAAAATAAAACGAAATAAACATTTTATCATGCTTTATAGTCATTACACAATATATTTCTTTGAACTGTTTCAGGTAGAGGGGGAAACAGACCGTTCAAGTGCAGAAACAACTAGTAGTGAGTTATCGTCTGATGACCTTGCAACTGAACTGAAGAGGCTGGAGATATCGTCAAGAGGGCGGGATGATGAGACGTTCCTCAGTCCGGATACTGGAAGTCTTGTTTCTTCAACGAGTGACGAGGCCCCAACCACTATGCAAGAACCTCGCAAAAAGTTGAACGAATATCTGGTTTCGAAGAAGATCCCGCCAATAACTCAGCCCTGGATGGAATGGGATAAAGCTGGAGAGAGCACTAAGAAGAGATACACCAAAAGGACAGTGGAGATCTTTTCTTCAGTCCTACAAGATCTTACACCTAATTATGCAGGTTCTCTTTGGCAAGCGGTCGTCTCGTCCCCTGCCATGAACAAAGCTCTTAAACTCGATGAATTATCACAAACGTCCAAGAATTATCTTCAGGCCTTAGCAGAGGCATATGGTAAAGCTCGAGGGTGGGAGACAAGAAGGCAGATCTTGTCTATGATGTCAAGCGTTGCCAGCTTCAATGATATTTCAAGATTTATACCAGGCTTAACTAGATATCGCTATAGCTTGGCCAACCTGCATCGCTTACAGTACGGTAGCGGGGCTCCCACAACGCACCACTCTCGCCGAGGATAAAGGCGCATGCAAGCTTGACGCCGAGGCTGTGGCGAGTGAAATGCGACGCGCCCGTGGAGCAGATGGTGTGCGACTTTTCCAGTCCTCAGAATTCCTAACCAGCTTGCACATTGCGTCCTTCTTCTCAAGGCAAAGCGCTACACTACGGCAAAAGGACCTAGCAGATGAAGCCGATATCCGGACATCTCAAGAGGAAGCTAACTTTAGTGCAGCGAAGGAGTTCGTTGAAACCATTCAGCTCAACCATCCTCTGGTATACGATCAGTACAACCTGTGTGGGAAGGCCCTCAGTGGTAACTTGAAAGTCCTCAAGCTACCGATGCTTCAGCGCTTGTGCGAGGATCTCTGCCTTGATGGACCTGTCCCGCCTGTGCGTAAGAAGGCTCCATACTTGGCACTCTTAGAGGAAATAACTAAAAAGTGCACACGCCGAAAGTAACTGGGGTTGAACTAAAGCCACTTACGTAATGAGAATATTGCGATCAGAGCCGCCTCGACAGGAAGTAAGGGACTACTCCCTCCTCCCCGAGTCTGAGAGTCAATGACAAAACAAAACAAAAACAAAAAACAATATTAAAGAAAGCCCCCCTAACGGGATGTAGTATATGAAATTAATTTTATAACTACGTTTAGCAAGACATAAAACAAAGATCTTACTTTGAAAAATACCCTGCGAAACGTTTTTACTTCTAAACGTACTCCTTCCCCACCCCCATCCTGACAACAGGTCAAAACGTTTATCCCGCGGGTGGGAAGTTATTGTTATTGCTGTTGTTTTTTTTAATATTATTATTCCTACCGGAGCCTCAAAATAATACTTCGTTTTAGAAAAATACTAATTTGAGCAAAATTAACTTGTTTAAGTTTCTAGACCAGCTGGATGGGTGGGAGAGGGTAACCGAGATTGCGTTACATTTACTGGACTCGAATATCAACACACGGTTTATTCTGACAGAATGCCGTTTGTTTCGATTTCTTGACACATGTAGCTTCACGTGTTTCAGATACTAAAAACAAAAACCGTCTGAAATTGTGAAAACTAACGTGGATTCAAACTCTCCCTGTAGTGGAAAATGGCTTTCCGCAACGTTGTTTCTGCCTGTATGATTAAATACCGCCTATAGCTATGATGTGGCACTTTGCCGGTTATTATTATTGTCGCGGTAATAACTATTTCCAAAATTTCAACGGTCTTTCCAGCAAACTACCTTCGTTTTTTTTTAAAGTCACACGATTACTATTTCATTCAGGAAACCTTGCAGAACGATAAATATCTAGGAAAACGTCCTGGATGGATAGTTTGACACAAAGGCGGCTGGTTTGACTGATTTATCACGTTTGTTTACATTACCTTGCGATAACCAAAGCGGACTATCTACATCAAACTGATCTGTTCAAAGCATTGGATGTGTCTCCTATGAGCTCTTGGATATTTCTATAAGCGGCAAACTTAAAATTCTCAAAGGTAAATTTAGTTTGATATTTTAACGCAAGTGATTATGACTATAATGTTAGATGCAAAGGATGTTTGTTATAAATCCAGCGCCATTTTGCACGTTGATATTGCCCAGACTTTCGATTCCTTCGAAGGGAAGCGTTCCGAGTTCGACCTTGAAACTTTACTTGGTAAATCTTTAAGACCTATATTTTAGCTCTGTAATGCTTAATTGTTAAAAACTGACATACCAGGAACATTTTTATCCAGATGAATATTAGCTACATTTTGCCACCATCGAAAGCGGTCTCCGAAGATGTTTTCTAAATGGCCTGAAAAACCATTGCATTATCATATTTTAAAAGATAAAAACATTGGTAGTGTAGAAGATTGATTGCTTTGAAATTCCTTTTATTTTGAGGTCAACTGATTTCATTTTAAGACTTCGGCGGAGGTTTATAATCGCACCTTTTGATCAACCAAAAAACCGCACTTTGACCGCATTTTGACCGCACTTTTAATTTTTCTCAAATTTCCCAAATAAACAAAATCGTTGGAACTTTTGAATGTGATTTTTGAGAACAGTCTACCCAAGGCTAACTTTGGGCAAAATATCAGGGATTCGCCAAATGTGTCGCTGACCGCCGATTCTCAATCCTTACAGACAGCCGCTCTTAAACAACTTTGTCCAATCATCTTATTGAGTGTGCGCTGAACTGTTTTGTATTAGGCGTTCCCAGAAACCGCCCCACCATGCCGCCCTTTCAACGATGAACTTCCACGTCACACCATTATTGGCCATGTAATGGGTAACTTCTTTAGCTCTTGATATCTTTACAATGCCTCTCGAAGGGGACTTGAATGTCCTGGGGTTGTCTGATAGTATTGTAACTGGTAGTCCCCTACTGCTCGTAAATCGACCAAAGGCTAGTATGAAAGCTTCAGAACTCAGTCTTTTCGTTAACTCTAGATGAACTGCTCTTGTCGAGGCACACGTAAACAAACATACGTACGCCTTAGCGTCTTCCTCATTTGCACCCTTCTCTGAGGTGTATAGGGGTCCAGCGAAGTCAATACTAGTATGCGTAAAAGGTGGGTCGTCCGAAACGCGTTCTTCGGGTAGGTCGGGTTGTTGCCGCAGTGAGAAGTTTTTTCCTTCGACCTTTCTGCATCTTACTCATCTTCTCACAATCTTCTTAACAGTTTGTCGTCCTCGTATTATCCAGAATCGCTCCCTCATCACTGTCAAAGTTGCGTTTACTCCACTGAGCAACATTCGATTGTGTTTGTCCTTGATGATCAACTCAACACCATGATGCTTTGAGGGCAACAAAATTGGAATTTTGGCCTCCTGATTTAGTACGCTGTTTTGAACTCTTCCTCTACACCGCATAAGGCCACTATCATCTAGGTAGAGGTTGAACGGTCGCACGAGAGGTGGCTCGGGTAATTTTCTTGCCGTCACCAAGTGGCATTTTTCGTCCGGAAAGGATTGTTATTGTATGGACTTAATCCAAAGTTCTTCTGCAGATCGAACTTCTTCGGTACATAATTCGTAGTATTTGCAGGATTCTGGATGATTTCTTTCCAGGCATTTTCGTTATCCGATTGGATATTGTCCTCCTGTGGCCATTTCCTTTCGTCCTTGAACAGAAATTCAAGGCCGTTCCACCACCTTTTCTCGGAGACTAATTAACTTGCTGACATGCCACGTGACGGAATATGGGCTGGGCACTGGTTGCCTGGACAGAACCTCCACGAATCAAGAGTTGTATGCACTCGAATTTCTTGCACTCTGCTCATGACGTATTGTTTCTAAGGTTTGAGATTCCAACATAAAACAGTCATTGAGTCGACCCAGAACACGGTTTCCAATTTCTGAGGCAAGGCGTTCTGTACGGCTTTAGCCAAACGTACGAGAATCGTAGCGCCAAGTAGCTCAAGCCTAGAAAATTGTTTCTTCAACGGTGCCACTTTAGTCTTCGATGCAACCAATTTACATCAACGCGCCATCCTCATAAATGGAGCGAACATAAATGCTTGCACCGTAAGCCTTTTCTGAAGCGTCACTGAAACAGTGAAGTTCAGCTACTTGCAAATTGCCAGACGTGTAGTCGAAATAACATCTTGGTATACAAACACTGTTGAGCGTTTGAAGCTCAAGAATGAGTGATTTCCATTTCTTCAAGTGATCACCTTTTAACTGGTCGTTCCAATCGGTGCGTTCAATACAAAGTTCTTGAAATAAGACCTTCCACTGGATAGTAAACGGGCTCAACAGTCCTAGAGGATCAAGTATCTTGGCTGAGATCTTTAATAACGATCGCTTCGTAGTCGGGAGTAAACTTGCGTGTTGCGAGAGATCTACCAAATCGAACGTAAACTGGTCGGTTTAAGTGTTCCAAATTGAGCCCAATACTTTAACGATTGCGTTTTCGGAGATGTTGCCGCAATTGGACGTCCGTTCGTAGTCTTTGCGTACGATTCGTCTTCTTCGGTAATGGTCTTCGTGCTTTCGGGTTCAGTTGATGGATACGCGCGGTCGCTCATTCCATTGATCGCCTCTTGCACAATCTTTGAATTCGTTTTCCAGTTTCTTAAATTGAATCCTCCCCATTGCATAAGTGATTTGGACTTCGATCACAGTTCCAACACCTTCGCTTCGTCTCCCTCATCGGCAACAAGATCGTCAACGTAGAGGGATTTCTTCAAGAGCTAATGAAACGCGTCTTGAATTCTTCAGACACTTGTGAGTCTAAATGGTGTCGAATCGTTGATGCCAAAATAGCTGGAGATGGTCTGAGTCCGAACACGAGACGGGTGAACCTCAAATGTACAATCTCAGAGTTTAGATCATAGGATCCTTAAGCCACAAAAATCTCAGCATATCTCTATCCGTTTCGTTGATTCCAACCATGAGAAAGGCCTTTTCTGTCAGCCGTAAGACCAATCTTGTGACAGCGAAAGTTAACTAGTGTGTCAAGTAACTGTGGGGTAGAATTTGGCCCGGTTTCAAGACAATCGTTCAACGAGTGAGTACGTTCGGGGGGCTTGGCTGAACCATCGTACGCAATCCTCAGTTTGGTTGTTTAGCATCATGGCGTGGTGTGGAAGGTAGTATACGTCTTCCTTCTCATTGTCCTTCTCTGCAGCGACCCTTTCCACGATTCCCTTGCTCAATTGGTCTTCAGTAATTTGATTATATTCGCGAATCAGTTCCGGCTCCTTTAACAATTTTCGTTGCAGTAATTTAAGGCGGTTGACACAAAGTTCACTCGATATTGCTGGATGATTATCA